TATCGTAAAGATATAAAAATCAAAAATATAAAAATCAAAAAGTATAAATCAAAATATCAAAGTCAAAAATATCAAATTAAAATCAATATAATATTATAACAAAAATTCAAAATCAACTTTATATAATCAAAGAAATAAAACTGAGTGAGAAAAAGGGTACTAGTATAATTAGAAAAGAAATCAAAAGATTATTATTATTATGATAATAAGCTTTTTAATTATATTTTCCAAATAATTCAATCTGTAACTAATTATCAAGTCAACTAAAATTGTTTATTTCAATTTGAAAGAGCAGATTCTTTTATACATGTTTTTAAATATAAAAATTACTATAGTATTACTAATTAATACTATTTAATATACATATTTTATAATCTCAAATTAAGATTTTCAGATTAAGATTTTGAAATCAAGATTTTTGTGTAATATAAATATAAAAGAAGAAATGAAATATAAAAGAAGAGATCTATAAATATATTAACTAATTAATCTATACAGTATTACTAAATATAATCATATATATGAAATATTAATATTAATATAGAATATTTTTGATTGAAATTGTAAATCACAGATTTAGAGTAATAAAAGTATATAAAAATAGGAAAAGAGGAAAAAATAAGATTTTTAGAATATAAATATAAGATTTAGAATAATAAAATAAAAGTAAAATAATTATATGCTTAGATAAAAATAATAATAATTAGATAATAAATTGTAAAAATTAAGAAAAAATAAATTTCGTATAATTAAAGAAAGATTATTAAATTAGAGAAATTTATATTACTATAGTAACAATAACTTATAATCATTTTTATAAATTTATATAATAAAAAAAATTAAATTTTTAAATTTTAAAGAATTTTAAAGCTCAATTAGTGATCTGATTTTGCTAAAATTTTAAATATATATTTATTATATATATATTAATATACTTACTAAGTATAAATTTCTAATGATAATATTTAAAAATTATTTTTAATTTTTAATAATTGCAAATTTTATTGTTCAAAAGTGAAAAGTTTTATCTTATTTATTTTTAAATAAAATATTAAAAATAATATAAAAATTATATTAAGATATACTTTACTTAATATAAAAAATTATAAATATTAATTATAAATTGTATGACTTTTATTAAAAATAATTATTCTAAATATTAATTTGTAATTTTAATTATAATCTTAAATTTTTATCAAATATTTATCTGAACTCAAAACAGATTTTTGTTCAAATTTGAATTTGATTTAAATTTTGAACTGAACTCAAACTAGACTTTTAATTGGATTTGAATTTTTGAATTATTCAAATTAACTAAAATTATATATCTATATATATATTAATAAATTTATTATTCAAATCAGTCTTTATATTCAAAAAGTTTGATGTTTTTCATGTTTTGCACAATATTTATTTTAAATTTTATGAAAATATTTGAGAATATCTAAATAAATTTTTATTAGTTATAGAATTCTATATGATGAACAAGTTTAATTATTACACAAAGATCGTTATATTAATAAAAAGCAACTTTTATAGTTCTGTATTTAAAAAATCCTATTCATTATTTCAGTAATTTTTATATTTTTTAAAAACTACATGATTTTGATAAAGTGTTGGAGAATTTTTTCATTGTAGCACTTTTTTATTTTTATATATTAAAAAAAGGCTAGAACAAACTCTTTAGTTTTGTGAAAACACCAAAAAAACGCATCAGTACTAAGAGAAATAATTGTGCATTAAGAACAATCTGTTACATGTATATTTTTGCTTGAAATCATGTGATTAAATACAATTGGTGCGTTTATTTTTTACGCCCACTGTAGTTCTGCATCTGGATCACGAAACTACGTATATCGATATTACTTTAAATACGACTATTACTATAGAATCAATGTAATTTTTCCGTGTGCGGAATGATTGCTGCACATCGAATTCTTAAGCATCCCGTATAATTCCGAACATTCTACGTATCTATCTGCAAAATCAATTAGAGCTTGTATACAACGTAAAAGTAAAAAATACGTAAATTTTATTTTTCATTTGAAATCGAATCTGACCGAAAATCTTTAGTTAAAGTCGACTTGATTTTTTCATTTTTCACATCAGGGAACTTGGCGTTAGATAAGTGCGTTGTAAAATTACTGCATCTCAAAACATAATACGATACTTGTACTGTTTTCAAGCTTATAAATCTAACAATTTTCGACTTATCGTTATTGTTATATTCCGGATCTTTGTTGAATCTGGACTTATGTATCCGGATCTAGCAAGTCAATAAACCTTTGAAATGCTGGAATGCTGGAATAAAAGTATCAATAAATTTCTGGATGAAAACGGCAGGTTTTTTTTACAGGACCTCATAGAAAGATATAGATGAATTTGCCCAGATACAGTTGCGATTCAGCACATATTCAATTACTGATCGAAGTCTATTTTGAATTCGCACGATATTTGACGGGTGAAAAACAAAATGCTGACTTTGTTTAAATTATTAGCTTCTCTTCTCGCTTGAAATTTCAATTTAGACACTATCCAAAGTGATTCCAAGAAACCACATTTTATGAGATCGTTTCTAGAAAAGTTTATTCAATAGTATTATAAAATGTTTTTCGAAATTGAATTTGGTATCTAAATTATGCAATAGGATAGTATTATTAGCGACGATGCGAATAAGAACTTTTTTATTATGTTTGCGAGGTCAATTAACTACGTGAGCGACAAAATTGTAAAGAACATGTGTGCGAGCTTGCGAGTTAGAAATGTGTGTGAATGGGAAATAAAAAAAAATATGATACATATGTAACAGGAAATTTAACAAATTTTTTCTTCATGAAGCCCGGGAAGTAAGAAAAGGTGAATATTTATAGTGCAGTATGATACGAAAGTGTGGATAAAAGGGGACAAAAAATATATAAGAAAGAGAAGATGGGAAGGAGAACAAGAACAGAGAGTAATAATTATCACAATTATTAGGAAAAGGTATATTGCGAAAAAAACGATGACGACATGGGATTATATCATAGATATAAAAAAAAATAATAAGCGCCTGCGCACGCACGAAGTTATGAAAAAAAGGAATTGTTGGGCAGCGAAGAAAAAATAGAAAGATAAATATTGATTGGTTTTTTGGAAAATAAAGTGCAAGAAAAAATGCTACATAGGATTGATGAGAAAAACGCTTATTTGGTGGAAATCAAAAAAATTACTAGAATAGTAATGATTCATAAAGTAATTGGTGGTTGTGATTTTTTTATGATCTTTCCCCAGAATTATATTTTTTGTAAAATATAACTTGATTAATTTGTTATTTTTTCGTGCTTGTTTGTGCTTTAGAAAGAGAAACTAAGAAAGTGCAAAAAAGAAATAAAAAAAGAAAAATTTGCATATACAGAAAAAAACTTGCCAACAACATTACTTGCTTATTGATGTAAACAAAAAAGAAATATCCACCGTTATTTCTTTTTGTTTAAATGAAGAAGCGTGTCTATTTAATCATAGACACATTGATTGATTGAAAACTTGACTTCTTGTTTTTCGTGAGTCACGTGACATTGATGGTATCAAATCAAATTCGCCAATTTCCGTTGGTCGCAATGTAAGTTTGACATTTACAGCATCTTTTCGCTTCTGGTACGTCGCCACTCTTTTGTTTTTTAAACATTGCGTTAAATTCCGATTTCAACGGAATATATCGACATTCTAGATTTGGACACACGCATTTTGTCTTTTTGTACCTCAATCCACAACTATTACATAAGAAAAGATTCGGTCGCCAACCAGGTCTCCAACAGGGCGTGCTTTTAGTCCTACAGCTAGCACAAATTTTTGTTCTATGATTTGCCTCTTTACGCTCCCTCGTGGTGGCAGTCGTAGTAGTCGTAGAATTATTCATTGCTAGCGAGTTATTGTTTGTTTTGGCGATATGTTTATTGTTGTTAAATGAGGAGACTGGAGTTGACGAAGCTGTAATTCCAAGACCAGAACCAGTTCCAAGTTTAAGTTTTTTAGGATTCGGCAAAAATTCTGGATCACCTTCATCATCCCCGTAATTATCAATATTAACGTCATCAAGATCACTTAAATCTGAATTGGGCATCGATGATATAGATGAAAGTGACATTGATGCACGTCGTTTGCCGGAGATATAATAAAATAAATGATTTATTGTTGTGTTGTTGTTAAAACGTTCAGTTGAAGATGGAGTATTTTTATAAGATGATGAATTAATAGTACTATTCGTAGAAGTGACACTATTAGAGGAGTGTGCATTAAGACCGATCTGGGAAGCTAAGGATTTGTTGAGGGATTGAGATGACGATGACAAAGAAACATGACGAGGAGCATTCAATAAATTTTCTTCCTGATTCTGATGATGATGATGATGTTGTTGATTATTATTAAACCAGGATTGATTTGTAGAAAGAGCAGCAGCATCAAAAAGTAAATCCAATCCAGTAATTGATTCATCTTCCTTTTTATTCTTTCGAGTGACAGGCCTTGGTCTATATCTTGGTCTCCTCGCTAGACTCATTGAGCGCACAACATCAGATAATAACAAAGGTCGATGAATAATCGTTGCTGATGGAGTAGAAATCGTCTTTGTCGGATCGTAATCAGAAACTGTTGATCGAGTATTACCATCCTTATTATCATCGCTAGTATTCTGACTATGAAGCGAATCACCTGTTAGGATAACTGTTGGAGTATTTTGTAAAACAGATTTATCATCAAAGAAAACAACTGGAAATCGAAATATCATTCCAGGATCAATTTGATTTTCATCTTGATCAGGTGATCTATATGGAGTTCCCTTTCGTTTTCTTTTTGATGATGATGATGATGACGATGTTGATGCGTTGTTCTCCGATAAAGAAATATTATCAAATGACGAATAAGATAATAATGAATCATTATCATATGAATCTGTTGATTCAATATTATGTTCCTTCATAACCATCGGAATAATTGTTGATAGCATTGAATCATCAGCTATAACATAACGAGACCTGGATTTACGTGATGACACGTTATTCTGTCTATTCATGTTGTTTGTAGAAATGGACGATGAATTATTGATGGTGGTGTTGGTAATAATTGGGCTTGTGGGGTCAGGGGAATAGACTCCAGTCCCGTTTGACGAAGACGAAAAGAATGGATTCTTCTCGTCTAAATTATCGAAAGCCGGTGGTGGAGTTGGTATTCCGAAATTGGATGTCACTTCTGTAAATGAAGTACTCATCTCGACCGCGTGTAATTAAAGATTCTTTATCACCTAAATGGGATGGCCAAAAATTAATTTTATATTAGTATCATAATTTCATACGATAATAACTTCTTATACATATAATAAAGTCAATTCGATATATATATTTAGTATGGTAATCGTGTTGTTTGCTATCAAATTAATCGAAGATAAAAATCACAAGATCGAGAATATAATATTATTTGGAATGTTCTTTCAAATGGTAATTAATATAATGAATCGAATTAAGTAAAGAGATTACATGCGATGAGTTGATGATTCTAAACTAACTTGAAAGCTTTAATATAGTGTATAAAATGACGAAAAAGAGAATGACTTTACATACCTTTGAGACTGAATATTTGAAAAATGATTTATTACTTTATATATGATTAATAATATTTTACTTTTGATCTATAATCGTTTGGCTGGTTGCTCCAAGAAAACCCATAAAACGAAAATGAAAATAATTATTATTTTGTGTCGTCAAAATGAATTATTTGAATTCTAAAGTCAAAGTCAAAAAAAAAAAAAGTGATAGAGTCAAGTACTATTGTAAGGGAAGTAGAGTAAAGGAAATAATATAATTGATTGATGATTTGCGTTAAGCTAAATGGGTCGACGACGAGAGTGTGTGTGTTGGTGAAGCCATAAACAACACAAGAGAAAGCCGACGACAAGAATTAATTTATTGACCGAGGCTAGCAACGATTAAATATCTTTTGTCTGCAATTGTGGTTAGTGTGTGCGTGTGTACGTGTGCGCGATGATTATTTTATTTTTTTTATATTATGTACTGTATTCTAATGTACTGTATACTGTATATTGTATTATAAGATTCTAATATGTGTTCTAGTATGGTATATATATCGATATTACATAAGTGTATGAAGTTTCGATTCTGAATTGTTTATGATTTTAACTTAAATTTATAACTTTTGATCTAAAAATTTTCGATAGAGAAATGGTTTAATAAAATAATTATGAGGGGTTCAGGTAGTAGCGATTTCTACTTTCTTAACGTTAATCAGAAAGAGACTTCATAAAAGGTGTCACAAACCAATACAAAATAAAAATCACTGATTACTACTGTTAATTCACTTCTATTAAATACCGTGTGAGAACGGGAAAATGAATTACACAAAGAGTGTACGTATCTGTATGTGAGACAAACCGAAGAGGATTAAATACATGTACACAAGCATTGAAACATTTCGATGTTATTTTCTTCCTAAATTAGAAATAAATTTTCAAATTCCGCCATATTCTGTACGCTGATTCTTGCGTCGTGATAGAAGTTAAAGCATAGGCAATCGAGATTTTTGGTTAGAAACGTGAAAGGAACAAAACTGGGTTTGATTTGTTAATCATGTGCACAAAATAATTATTTCTTTAATAAGTTACAGCATAAATTATCTCGAAAAACATTATAACACAACTTCTTTCTCACACACTATCACCGCCACTGCATTAATGTTTATTACATAGAAAAAACAAACAAATCATTTTGTTAAATTATGATCACTCTAATAGACATGTATTTATTTTAACGTAGGATTTCTTCTATGAAATGTATCATGCCACTTTTTCAAATACAGTACGTATTTGATTTGTTCTTTTTACAAGAATTCAATTCATACAATTTCTTTTTTGCTAACATTATTAGAATACGTAGTGATCGTTATGCAAGTAATAGCGTAAATTATTCTGCAAAATGACGAAAATTTGTAATTATATAATAACTTTTTTATCGAGCATTAATATTTGTGCCTTGCGTACTTGCATTTTAGCTCATTATATTATTGATTAAGCGTGCTTGATTGTTCTTTTTTCCTGCATTATAAATTTTGATAATGTTGTAACTTTTTCTCCATATTTCACGATTGATGAAAATTGTTTTTTATTGGTTGATTTGTCTGCAGACAACAAGCCCTTTTTAATGTTTTTGGCGGGTTGGAAAAACTAAAATTAAAATTTTCCCAAAACCACCGCTATTTAGAAAGTCATTAATCTCATATGTACTGTTAATTTAAGAATACAGTTAGACCGGATTGTCGGACACAATATGGATATACCGATACGGAAGTTCGAGTTTTTCCTTGTTGATTAACGTTATTATTCCAACCTGTTTTATCGGACATTTACATTGTTGCCGAAGTGAAAAGACTCTTTTATTTGTGATCTTATACATGATAATATTTATAGATGTCATTTGGATACAATAAGTTTTTGATTTTCGCAATTACTACAACAAAAAATATAAGCTTTTCTCTTTGATTATTACCCAAACGTACAACGCTCATTTAATTGCGTGTATGTGTTTAGAGTATGCATTTTTTGTGTTTGTGTATCAAATTGGCGTTAACTTCAATTTAGAAAGTCATGAGATCGATTTTTGAATAATTACCACGTATCGGTATCAGAATTGGTGTGACGAATATACTTGCACATTTGCGGATTTTTAAATGACCGGTGTTTTTAAGTTTTATTGAATTTTCCTAGAAGTTTTGATTCATGATATAAAGACGGACAGTTCTTTTTCCTTTTGTTTACGATCTTAAAACAACACCGAAAAGAGTATGCATATATGCGTGTATCGGTATACTTTGTGTGTGAGAATCGCCTTGAGGAGTACAGATTTAAGTTGGTAGCAACGTGAATCTATGACAATATCAAATGATATAAGATGATATAAAAAAAGAATGTTAGTGATTACTGTTATTCTATACATATATAAAAATACGAGAATTTTAGTTTATTATTGTTATAAATAATTCATAAAGGGATTTAAAAATAAATCCAATCAAGCTTTATCACCGATCATTAACGCCATTTGGTACACAGTACGTAGCTAATTAAAATTCAATTCTTTTTTTATTATCAAATTACAGAATGCACCGTCTTTTGTGTAGAAAATTTAAACCTTTTTGGGTTGTTAAAAACATCAACTTTAGACGCAATTATCATGAATTTGAAGTGGCATCGTCACTTTAATACATCAGTTGTTTAAAGTCACAATATTTTAGCAATTTATTAACGTTAATAGTTATTATGATTAGAAATTATTATTATTTATAAATTTAATCTCATAAATTCAATAATTTTATGTTGTGTTTAATAATATATACATGTAATAACCAGCATAAAAAATGCAATATATATATGTATTCGGAATTCAGTTTTTTAGGTAAAACTTATGAAATTTCATACATATAGTATATAAGTTCCGGGAAACAAGCTTGTCCGATAGCACAAGTAACTTAAATTAATAAAATTTTTCATAAATTTTTATTAAAAATTGCAAATTGGAATGTTCAAAATTAAGGGGAATAAAAAAATATTTTTACTAATCAATTATGCAATTATTTTTAAGAAAATATATTTTTCATTTCTCAAAGAATATATATTTAAATTTTCAATTAAATCTACTTTATAATTATGAATTAATAATCAATTTAATTTTTTGTAAAAGTAATTATAATTTTAATCAAAATAATTCTAAATAAATTTGTTTAATATATAATAATAATCAAAGATAATATAATAGCAAAAATATTAATATAGAGCAAAAATATAAAAAATATGAATTTTTCTTTTTATAAAAGTTTTTAATTTACTAATAAATATTTTATTATATTTATATCTAAATAAAGATAATATTATATATTTTAATATGTATTTTTTCAGATTTATAGATTAATAATATATAAAATTAATAAATTTTATATAATTAAATCATATAAAAAATTATTATTTTATATATAGTAAAGAATATTATATAAAATTAAATCTAAAAAAATATATAATATTATTTTTATTTTAATTTAAAATAAAAATATTTATTTTTTTATTTTTATTATATTTTAATAATAAATTTTTTGCTATTGTATTATTTTTTAATTATTATTATATTATAAAAAAATTTTTATAAATTTTTATATGTAGTGACAATCAGAAATAATACAACAACATCAAAATTTATTAATTAAATCTAATAAAATATAGATTTTTCTTTTTATATAAAAGTTTTCAATTTTACTAATAAATATTTTTTATTTTTATATTAAAATGAAGATAATATT